ACAGAATAATAGAGGCTTTTTTTTTTTCTTTGCTTCATTGGTGGAGATTTCCTGGAAGTTTTAAGATATCTTCCCTTTAATTTTTCCTAGACACTCTGATTTTACGTATGTCTCTCACCTTTGCTTTCCCTCCATCCCCCACCACAACAGTAACTTGCCCCAGGCTCACTTTGCTCTAGTGCAGTGGTTCTCAACCTTCTGTCCCTTTAAACACAGTTCTTCATGTTGTGTCCCAACCATAAAATTATTTTCGTTGCTGCTTCATAACTGTAATGTTGATACTGTTATGAATGGTAATGTAAATATCTGATATGCAGGATGGTCTTAGGCGACCCCTGTGAAAGGGTCGTTCAACCACCAAAGGGGTCACAACCCACAGGTTGAGAACTGCTACTCTAGTGTCTAGGAGATCCGCCTGCCATCAGAACTACGATTCCCAGCATTCCGGGTGCTCCCCATGCTCTTGGTTTTCCCTTCCTGCTCTGTCTCCGTCCATGGCCTCCCACTCTGCCAAGTCCTCCAAGCTGCCAGCTCTCCCTCTCTGCTCTCCGTCTGGCAGCTTGGGGAGCCAAGTTCCCCAAGCCACTCCACTCTCTGCTGGCTCTCCCATTCTGCTCTCCACCTGGCGCCTGTGTATGCAAATCAACCCACCATCATTGGTGGGTTGATTTGCATACTCGCTCCTGATTGGCTGGTGAGCGTAGCGGGGGGACGGTCAATTTTACATGATTCTCTTTTATTATATGGGATAATGAACTATCAGAAAGAGAAAATGCCCTAGCCAGTTTGGTTCAGTGAATAGAGCACCTGCCTGTGGACTGAGGGGTTTGGGGTTCGATTTCGGTCAAGGGCACATGCCCAAGTTGCAGGCTCGATTCCCCTAGGGGGCATTCAGGAGGTTTCACTCTCATCATTGATGTTTCTATCTCTCTTTCCCTCTTCCTTTCTCTCTGAAATCAATAAAAATATATTTAAAAAAAGAGGTACTAAGAAAACAATACCACTTACTACTGCAACAAAAAATAAGGTACCTAAAAATAAACTTAACCAAGGAGGTAAAAGACCAATACTCAGAAAACTATAGGACATTGAAAAAGGACATAGAGGAAGATACAAACAAGGGGAAGTATATATCTCTAGTGCACAATGAACATTCTCAAAGATAGACCACATGTTATGACACAAAAGGAGTCTTAACAAATTCAAGAATGTTGAAATCTTGGATTGGAAAAATTAACATCATTAAAATGTCCATACTACCCAAAGAAATCTATAGATTCAATGCAATTCTGATTAAAATACTAATGACATGACTGATCACCCCTAACCACTCTGCATACCTGCCTGATCGCCCCTAACCAGTCATCTGCCTTCCTGATCACCCCTAACTGCTCTGCCTGCCTGTCTGATTGCCCCTAACTGTCTCTGCCTCGGCCCTGCCACCGTGGCTTTGTCCAGAAGGACGTCTGGAAGACGTCCAGTCTATCCGGTCTAATTAGCATATTACCCTTTTATTAGTATAGATAACCAAGATCTGGAAACAGCCCAAGTGCCCATCAGTAGACGAGTGGATAAAAAAGCTGTGGTACATTTACACCATGAAATACTATGCAGCAGTAAAAAAGGAGCTCTTACCCTTTGAGACAGCATGGAGGGACCTGGAGAGGATCATGCTAAGTGAAATAAGCCAGTCAGAGAAAGACAAACACCATATGATCTCACTAATATGTGGAATCTAATGAACAAAATAAACCAAACAAAACCAGAGGCATGGACACATGGAACAGACTGACAGATCTTAGAGGGGGCTGGAGGTGTGGGTGACTGGATGAAAGAAGGTGAAGAGAGTGGCCAAAGAGCATATACGCACAGCCCCCATCGACACAGACAACAGTGTGGTGTATGTCGGAGTGGGGGGGGGGTGAGCTTCCGGCAAAGGGAGGGGGAACTGGGGGGCATCTGTAATAGTGTCAACATTAAAAACAAAAGAAAAAGACAAAAAAGAAAATCTATATTGGTCATTTTTAGTCAAGGTCACTAAACAAAGAACTCACACTTCTAGGTTGAGGCCGATTTCAATGATAATTCCTTCAAGTCTTGTGCAGTCTCCTCCCCTATTCTCTCTGGGTGGCTCCTGAGTCCTCTGTGCTAATCCTACTCGAGGATATGCATGGAGGGCTGCCTCTCCACCTAACAACTCACAGCCTGAAATGTCCAAGCAGCATGATCTATGAATAGCTCCAAAGTGGGAACAACACAATGGTGACATATTTATAGCAGAAAAATCAACTGTGATTTAGTTCTTCAGTTAAATAGGACTCAGCAATAAGAATGAACTACGGCTTCCTGCTACATCACTGATGCAGCAATGAGCCCCATAGGCCTGAGCAGCAACATTGAAAAATCATGACACCCTTCTCTTCCAGAAAGTTCAGAACCAGGCCAGCAAGCAGCTGGCAATGCAGGCCGCCACCTGAGAGGTGGGAGGGAGGATGCGTCTGGACATGTGGGCTGCACCTGCTCAGAGATGACACTGAAGCCCTGAGAGTGGGAAGGTTATCAGGGATGAGGATAAGAAAGGACCGCACTGGTGACAGAGCCTCAAGAATCACTCAGGTGGGCCACCAAGAGAGACAGATGCACAAGACTGATTGGGGGAAACCATCAAAAATTACTTCCCAGCCAGCATGACTCAGTGGTTGAGCATCGACCTATGAACCAGGAGATCATGGTTTGATTCCCGGGTCAGGGCACATGCCTGGGTTGCGGCTTAGTCCCCAGTGTGGGGTTTGCAGGAGGCAGCTGATCAATGATTCTCTCTCATCACTGATGTTTCTATCTCTCTCTCCCTCTCCCTTCCTCTCTGAAATCAATAAAAAAAAAACTTAAAAATTTACTTTCTATGACAAGAGAAAGTCCTCGAGAAGAGTAAAAATGGATAATGGTGGCTGATAAGCCCAAGGCTTCTTCCACCTGTTGCAACCCAGAGAGTCCTCATGGGCCCAGGTGAGGAGGGGAGGTGCTGCGTGCTCACTCACGGCTGAAGCAGCTCGGGCAGAGTGACTATGGCCTCCAGGCCATGCACGTGCTTGTGTGTCAGGACTGCAGCTGTTGTGGACACATCCCTACTCCTTGTTATTGGAAGGGAGGCGATGGACACTCGGGAGGCCAGGGGCCAAGGCACATCCTATAGCTCCATACAGCACTCACTGAGCTAATGTTGATGTTAAATTCTAGAAAAACCTCTCGAGTAGGACTTGAGCTAGACACACGCAAGCACAGTTAAACCGATCACCAAGTCAAGCCCTCTCTCTCTTGCGTGCAGCTAGCCAAGGAAACAAGTTGGTATTAATAGAATCAAGGAAAAACGGTCTTGCTAAGGTGCACAGCAGCATTTTACACGGGTCTTCAAGCACCTCCCCTCGCCCGCTGGCAGTTTAAGCTGTGCCCCAGGTTATGATTACAGCATCTTGGTCTTCCCGGCTGTGTCCCCTGCCGTGGGCAACGGTAAGCTCTGCACGGCATCAGGAGAGCAATGTCTGTACATAAGTCTGAAGGCCTCTGCTCAGTGTCAGAATTCAGCCTCTGCAGATAATTTTAAAAGTTACCTGATAAAAATATACATAAACGTTTTATTTTCATATCAAATTATTTATAAAAAACCACCTAAAGGCTGAAAATCACAAGCACATGACTATAAACATTGAGCAATCAGGTTTGGTACAGGAACACCTGTTTACCAGAACTTTGGTGGAGAACATGTCACTGTTAACATGGCACTCCCCATGCATTCCACGTCTGATAACATGGCACTCCCCACGCATTCCACATCTGATAACATGGCACTCTCCACGCATTCCACGTCTGATAACATGGCACTCCCCACGCATTCCACGTCTGATAACATGGCACTCCCCACACATTCCACATCTGATAACATGGCACTCTCCACGCATTCCACGTCTGATAACATGGCACTCCCCACGCATTCCACGTCTGATAACATGGCACTCCCCATGCATTCCATGGCACTCCCCACACATTCCACGTCTGTTAACATGGCACTCCTACACATTCCACATATGTTAACATGGCACTCCCCATGCATTCCATGTCTGATAACATGGCACTCCCCACGCATTCCACATATGTTAACATGGCACTCCCCACACATTCCACGTCTGTTAACATGGCACTCCCCATGCATTCCACGTCTGATAACATGGCACTCCCCATGTATTCCATGGCACTCCCCACACATTCCACGTCTGTTAACATGGCACTCCTACACATTCCACATATGTTAACATGGCACTCCCCAAGCATTCCACATTTGTTAACATGGCACTCCTCACATATTCCACATCTGATAACATGGCATTCCCCATGCATTCCATGTCTGATAACATGGCACTCCCCACACATTCCACACATGTTAACATGGCACTCCCCATGCATTCCATGTCTGATAACATGGCACTCCCCACACATTCCACACATGTTAACATGGCACTCCCCATGCATTCCATGTCTGATAACATGGCACTCCCCACACATTCCACACATGTTAACATGGCACTCCCCACACATTCCACGTCTGATAACATGGCACTCCCCACACATTCCACATATGTTAAAATGGCACTCCCCACACATTCCACATATGTTAACATGGCACTCCCCACACATTCCACGTCTGATAACATGGCACTCCCCACACATTCCACATCTGATAACATGGCACTCCCCACATATGCCACATATGTTAACATGGCACTCCCCATGCATTCCACGTCTGATAACATGGCACTCCCCACACACCCCATGCTGGAGTTGCAGCGCCTGGAGAGCCTTCTCAGACTCACCCAGTACCTCATGCTGGGTTTGTCTGTGTCCCACCACCCTGCTGCCACATGCCTGCATACATGCCACCTGTCTTCCGTGTGTGTCCTTGCCACCATCGGAGCCTCTCAGCAGTACCTGGCCCACGGGAACATTACCTGGGGGCGTTAGCATGAAGTATGCCGCAGACGCACCAGCATGGCATGTGAAGGGATGGCCATAATCTTCCGTTTTCACTTCTAAAAAGGTTATGCCAACTGTGTAAACAGCATGTTCCTTAAAAGCAACGTGGGTTCTGTGAAAGAGGAGTCGATCATTAGTACATGAGTCATATCTTCCCCGACGTGTTTCATGACCCCTCGTCTGGAGAACCAGGTTCTTTCCTGAGACACTCCAGCCGCCGTGCACCTACAAATACTCCCCGAGTAGTTCAGTGAGGTGTGTGCACGGTGTAGTTCTAAAATGGCATTCTCTTGGGGAAGTGTGGTTCTGTTCACTGTAAACTCCCATCCTCCACCCTAAAGGACTCCCCTCTCCCTCTCCACGTACCCTAACTTATCTACACTGCAAGGCCCAACACACGTTCCCTGCCCTCTGACCTCATGAGTCTTGTTCCACATCATGCAATTCATACCATCATGAATGGGGCTCATGCCCTCAGTCAGCTAATGACCATGCACTGCTCCCCAAGTGTCCCTGTATTGCCACGTGTTTCCTGCTTAAGGCTGAAGGCCTCTGGTCCATCACGTGCCTGGGAATGAGGCTGGTTTTCAGTAGCAGCTGACAGAAATTGATCTCATTCCAGCAGGCCACGCCTCCCGTTCACCTCATCTGGAACGAGGACGCAGGAGAGTGACAATCTCTGAACAGTTGCTCGCCCACACATAGCACTGAGATCCTCGAGAGACAAAGCAAAAGGAGCGACGAGAAGGCAGGAACCTTCTCAGGCAGCAGAACTAACCCAATCACTGAACTGGAGAAAGTGCCGCTGGCTCGCAGAGAAGCCAGGACAACAAAACACCTACTCGTTTCCTTCTTGGACCCGCTTGGACTCTTGGTAGTACACGTCCACCCAAGTGCTGCCGACCCTCCAGCTGCGCAGGTTGGTGTTGTCCCTGGAGTCTGTGATGGTGCAGTTCACAGTAAGGGTGGAGCCTGAAACCGCAGTCACAAACACTCCATAAAAATTCTACCCTAAGTGACCTGCTTAACAAATACGCCCTGTTTCTGAGCCTTGACTACCTTCTCATCACCAAAAACACACTCCTGTGGTCAGTGCTGATCTGCTTTACTGGGCAGAGGTCACAGGGGCCCCGGGAGCTTGTGTCTTCACTGTTTTTCATCTATAGTGCCATCTATATTTTTTATGCTAGTCTAATTTTTGATCTTTTGTGATTTCTTCCAAAAGAAATCACAAATTTTATTTTCGAAAGTACATCATTTTGGCATTAGATTAAAAAAAATTGTCTTTATTTTTTAATGTCACTTCTGTGGTTTTATTTATAAACTAGTGGCCTGGTGCACAGATTCATGCACATTGAAAAGAAATTAATTAGAAGAAATATTTTAATATTGCTACTCTCCTTTTTTCTATAATAGAAGTGTCAGAGATTAAAGAAAATTTGTAAAATCTATATGAAAATGATACATAAATTTATTAATAAATAAACAATAACAATATGATATAACAACAACAAAGACATGATATAAAAACAACAAAACATGATATAAAAACAACAAAAACATGATATAAAACAATGACTGATAAATTGATTAAACTTATTCTAATATCTCCCTGTATACCACATTAAGAGTAAAAACACTTTCAGATTTCCTTGTCATGAAGTATTTACAACTTTAACTTTATCACATGCTCTTCGAATTCAAGAGAAAGCAACATATAACTGACCATGTCTGAAAATAGGTTCAGGTAGGAATATTTCTACTCTGTCTAGAGTTTCTCCTGTGATTTATTAATAGTCATCACATATGCTAGCATCATGGAAAACTGTCTTCGAATTGATTTAAATGGGAGGCCAGTATCAGACAGGGACAAATATGACGTAGGCGCAAGTCAACATTTATTTTTAAACTAGAGGCCCGATGCCCGAAATTCATGCAAGGGGCTTGGCCCTTGCAGTCACGGAGGCTTGCCTCGGCCCTTGCAGCCCTGGCTTTGTCTGGAAGGTTGTCAGGAAGGACGTCCAGCTGTCCGGTCTAATTAGCATATTACACTTCTATTATTGTAGATTGCCAGTGTATGTCTTATGTACCAGCCGGTCAGTCGGTCGGATGGATGGTCAGTTACTTAGCCTTTTATATATATAGATATTTCTTTAATTCATCAAAAGTGTATTTTTGTGTCTGTTATAAGATAAAGAATAAACTACATAGTCTTCAAATTTAACAAGTCATGTCAACTTCACACACATACTATAGTTCTCTTTCCCCGCACATTTTTAAATGCCCCAAATCTGCTTACTAAATTCCTATATATTTCAGCATCTGCTTATTGTTTTATGTTACTTTAACCTATTTGTATGCAAATATCAATATGCATTTATTATAACTTTATAACATACTTTAATATATAGTAAATTTCTTCTATTCGATTATTTCTTTGCTGACTCTTGCCAGCATTTTTTGACACGACTTTAGAAAAGCCCTGTCAAGTTTCAGGACATTCAGTGGCATTTCATTGGTGAGATATTAAACATGTACCTTAATCTGAGAGAAATAACCTCCTTCTGAGACTGAGTGTCCCATTTGGAAACATGCTAAGGAATCACAAAGACGTGTCTTTTTTAATGTCCTTCCTTAAAATGTTGCAATTTTTTTTTTTTTAATGTAGGCAGGTCTTTCAAATTTCCTGTTCTTTTTATTTATTAATATTTTGCTATTTTGTTGCAATTTTGAATGCCATTTCTCTAATTACATAATATATGATTATTTCAGGCATATAAAAATGCTATTAGCTTTGAAAGTTTATTTTATATTGGAATTCCTTACAGGAGAATTGCTAGTTATCATAGTTTTTTTAGAGAATTTTCTTATAATTTCCAAGTAGATAGCCATAAGCCATTTAAAATAATTATATGTTTACCCCTTCCTCTTCACAGCAGTTTACATCTCTTTTCTCTTTAGTGTCTAAACTCTAAACACATGGGCTAGAATTTTCAAAGACAAGAGCGGGGGGAGTTAATTAAGAGAGTCAAAACAGATATACTCATCTTTTCTGGGTGTTTGTGAAATCCACTGGCGAAGTCACATGGTGATATGTAGACAAATATCCTGTTATGAGCTTTGTTATTTTCTTGAAAGTTTACAAGACCTTTATTAAAATACGTCTGTAGGACCAACGCCTTTAAAAAGATTTTATCTCCTTTCCACTTATTGCTTGATAAGCTTTCTCATTTCTTTCATATTTAAGTTTCTCTACCTTTGGGGGATTACATTTACTGGAGGTTCTCTATCTTTTCTTTTCATCTCCCCACCCCACCCACCCCACCCCGCTCCGCCCCACCCTGCCCCACCCCACCCCACCACGAGCCCTTCTATCCCAGATTCAACCCTGGAACTTACTATTTATTAAAGTCATGATCTGTTTACTTTTATCTTTGTTATTTTTTGCCATGGGTTATTTTGTTGCCCCCATTTATAAAGTTTAATGATTAATTTATGCATTTTTATTATGTCTGCACTTACTATTGATAATGATGATATTTGTATCTTGTTTAGATTCAGCGTTGGTCACATTCCATGAAGCTTGACATGTTTTCACTGCCATTATTTTCTAAGTAATCTGCAACTATGGCTGTGAGTTAAATCTAACCAGCAAAGCAAATAAATAGAAGATAGAGTTGTTGATTTCCTCTTCTGGGACTCTTGAGTTTTTCATAATTTGTATTAGTGTGGTTTATTTAATACATTATTCTTATCATGTTATTATAATTTTTCAGATCCTTATTTGACTAACAAATTAGTCAAATCCAGAGTATGTTAAAATCTCCCACTATAATTGAAATAATTGCATTGTCTTATCATATTGCTTTTGTATATCCGAGAGTTTTAGCTTCAAATATTTTGATGCACTGTTATTTGGCACATAACTTTTTTTGAGGGGAGAGGGGTAATTATAATTTTTATTAGTATCAAATGATTCAATTTGTCATTTAATTTTTTGCATTAAAAGACATTTATCAGATTGAAAGATTCATATTGCCAAGTTATACAAGGCATATGAATTTATATTTAATCTTTAGGTCATGTATTTTAGAACTATGTCTTTTAAAAATAGCATGTAACCGGATTTTAATATTTGATTCAACCTCAGCATTTATCTTTTAATAATAATTTGTTTAATTTACTTTTTTCTTCAGAAAGTATTCAACCAGTATTTTATTAGCAATTACCTTTACATTTTAAAAAATAATTTGAGCTCCTTTTTCTTCACTTAGATCATAAACTGAGGCAATGTTCACTGGTCCCTTCCTAAGTAAAATAAGGAAAATAACATGATAATTCTCTCTACTCCTTTAAAATAATTTCCATTGCGAGATTATATCATTCAGAATGCTTGACCAACATTATATTAGTAGTTTTATCATCTCTTTCAGGAATTATTTTTACGTTTTCATTGCCTTTGCATAAACAGATTTACATTAATCATTTAGACCAATGATTTCCAATCATTTTCAATTCATGGCACACATAAACTAATTACTAAAATTTGTAGCATACCGAAAAATATATGTTTTGCCTATCTGACAAAAAAATAGGTATAATTTTGATTCGTTCACCCTGGATGGCTGTTGTTGTCAGTTTTTAATTTGACAATCTAAGGGAAGAGGTCAGAGCCTCTGACTACACATCAGGTAGTGCAGGCTGGAAAATGCCTGAGGCCGGGGGTGGAGTTCACTGTCTTAGGCCAGAGACCAGCGTGCTCGCTGCCAGGCCTCGGCTCCCTGGGTTTGCTGTTTCGGTGCCGCTCCCGAGGAGCCCAGGCGCCTCCGAGCGGGAAAACGGGACGTGTGTGGCATGTTCTTCATCCCTGAAATTCAAGAAATTCCCTAGGCTGTTGATTTCTACCCTTAATGATTTCAATGGTTTTCAGAACTTTACTCACCAAGTTGTGCTTCAATTGTATTGTTTATTGGATACGTTATTTCAGGGATTCTTCCTTCACGTCCAACATTTTCTGCTAAGAAATCACACATGAAATTGCATTAGAATCACATACAATACATTCCCAATTACTTTAATGTGATAATAGCATTAAAAACTTGCAGACCCTCAAAAAACATTTGTCAAGAAAAATCATAATTCATGCCATGACAGTGTCACTCTATAAATGCATATTTTTAAACCAAAAATAATTGAATTGTTAAGGAAAAAACCTAAAAGCTGGCCTATTAAGAAAATTTGCTTTTCCATTATATCCTATATAATAAAAGGCTAATATGCAAATTGTCTCCTCTACCAGGAGTTCGATCAGGGGGCGGGGCCGGCTGGCCAACATCCCACGTCCCCTCCCCCAAGTCAGCCCAGCCTGATTGGCCCTGATCAGGGTGGGCTGGCCAGACCCCACACATGCACAAATTCATGCACTGGGCCTCTAGTATTTACATATTTGGTATAAATATAAACTGATGAGCTCTCTCTCTATAAAACCCTAATATGCAAATAGACTGAACAGCAGAACAACCAAACAACCAAACAACTGATCAATAGGTCGTGCACTAACCACCAGAGCGCATGCACGGTATATGGCGGGTGTCGGCCTTGGCAGGATGGCGGAGCAGGTGAGCAGGAGCACCAGACCAAGGCAGGGCACCAGTCGCTGTCATCCGGGCGAGCCCCTCTGGTGGTTACTGACAATTCTTTATTCCCGCATGCCCTGGTCCTGCCTGGCGCTCGCACCTGCTGCCAGCACTGGTCCCAGTCACACCCACTGGTCCCGGTTGCTTGGCACCGTCAGCAGGTACGAGCGGCAGCTGCTGGCCTCAATTGTCCCTGAGGGTTTCTCCGCCTCCCCCTGCTCCTGAGGGGTGATCTGAGCAGCAGCCACCACTCACACCCATCTTTCATCTTTCTGTACTTCTTCTCTTCCTGACGGTGCCAGCCCCGCTCGCACCCGCTGCTGGGCAGGGCCCGTGCCATCAGTGCATGGGAGTGGCAGCAGCACTGGGAGCAGGGCTGCCAGCAGATGGGACCAGAGGCCACGGTGGGAGAGGCCAGGCAGGGGCACAGAGGATGGGCTGAGACCCACTCCTGTGCCCACCGCAGCCTCACAGCCCACAGTTCCTTTCAAGGTTCACGAATTCATGCACTGGGCCCCTAGTTATGTAATAAAAGTCTCTGATAATCTAAATATACTTCTAAAGCATTGGCTATTATTAAAGCTCTGGCCTAGGTCCTAGATAGAAACAATGACCCTAATGTCTTGTCTTTAGTCCCATTCCTCCATCCCCCAACCCTGCTTTTTCATGTCTTTCCTGTCCTTTCCCTCCTGTTTTTCTTTAGCTCTTTCATCCCTACATACCACTTTATAATTGCCTACCTCATATGACATGGACCCCCTCACCCTTTCATCTTTCTGTACTTCTTCTCTTCCTCATTTGTCCACCAAAATTTAACAGTCACTCTCTTAGTCCCATATTCTTCCTATCCATTTGGTGGGATGTGGAAGTTATAAAAAAGGAAACTAGGAAAATTCAAAAACATACATCCTTTATGATGGCAATAATATTGGCACCTTCTACAAACTATTCAGATTCAGTACATCCCAAACAGAAATCATCACCAGCTAGATAATTGCCGCCTTCCACATGACCATGCACATCTAAAATCTAAAAGTCATTCTAGGCAACAGCTTTTGCTTCACCTTCTTCAAATGACCAATCACCAAGTCAAACTAATTTTACCTCTTAACATTTCTCAGTCTGTGATTACTTACTCCTAAACCCTCTATTTTCTACTCTCTACTCTTTCCCTAGGCACTCTAGTTTATATCCAGCTCTTCAATTACCACCTCAAGGCCAATGACCTTGTAAGGAGCTGTACTATCTCGAGTTCTTTCTCTAAGATCCAGACCCACATAGGCTACAGCCTCCTCAGTGTCTCCACCTGAGCAACTCAAAACCACCATGTACTCACATTCTCCGTGTACTCACTTTGCCCATGTACTCACTTTATCCATGACCAAACTCATGATCACATTCCTAACCCCAGTTTTCCTCTAACGTTACCTTATTTTATTGAATAATATCATCATCCAATCACTTGTGTATGCCCAAAGCCTAGCTTCCTTGATCATGCCACATCCCTCACTTCACATTCAATCCTACACTAAGACCTGTGGATTTTACCTCCTAAAATGCCTCTAATCCATCACATCACATCCCTCCATCTTCAGGGCCATCATGTTGCCTGTACATACTTGACATCTCACTTGCATTTCTTCACAGGCCTACTAACCGCCACTCCTGTTTCCGTAGGGATCATCCGGTGCACAGCAGCCACAGTGAGCTTTCAGCAATGTAAGTCACATCAGCTAGCCTGCTCTCAACCTCTCTGCCATTTTCGTAGGATAGATCCATACTTCCCGCTTTAGATTGCATATTCCCACCGAATCTTGGCTCATGACTATTTCTCCAACTTTATAACCCACCATGATTTCCATCACTCACCATAGCTCCAGCCAACCTGTCTGCTTTCCACCCTTCAGAAACGCCATTGTCTGTCTTGTTATAGGGCCCTCACTTGGGCTGTGCCCTCAGTCTCAACAGAGCTCACCCATTCCACTACTCAGTGAATACTCCTGCCCATCGCATCACCAGTATCAGGAAGCTTTCCCTGACTTTTCAATCGGCCCTTGTCTGTTTGCTCTATCTTCATTTCCTTCATTGCATTAATCTCCTTAGTTATTATCATTAGTACACTATCTGGTAAATTTCTCCCTCCCTCCCTGCTCAGGCTTCAAAGCCCTGGCAGAGCAGTGGACCTGGCTGCTTTCCTCACCATCATGTTCTCTCTGCTTAGCACAGGACCTGGCCTTGTTAGGCACTGAGTGAAGAGTCGCTGAATGACTGCCTGAGAAGAAGCTCTACCGCTTCCATCCAAGTTTAGATAATCAACACTCTTCTGGACATTGAAGAAACATTCTAAATGGTCCAGGCCTCAGACCCTCTTCAACTCCTGCCCAACCCATCTCAAAACTTTCACCATCACAAACACAGCCTTGTCGCTCTGTACTTGCACCCAACCCAGGGCTCTTCAGAAGCAACATGATACACCTGCATGTGACCGGTCCCCTTGACCTTGCCCATGTGACTCTATGGCTTCCTCACCTTGTACTTACATATTACATCCAACATAATCGACAATGGAAGACACTTCTATGCTTTGCCTTATACTCTCTCTGCCCCTCCTTGCTCTTCTTTATTTCCATAAACCCTACTCATCTTTCACAATTCAGTTCAGATGACATTTCCTTTCTGAAGCCTTTAGGCCATTTACTTGCCACCATGGGGAAACTTCTGAATCTTTTCCTGCTCCCTCAGACACTGTCTATAACTGTCCTCACCACATAATGTGAAATGCTCTCTAGCTCCACTACCACTAGGCTGAGAGCTTCTCAACAGGAAAAAACAAAGTGTAGTGTTTTTAAAAATTTTTGTTTATCAAATTTTAACAATTTGGGGTATACAATAGATCAAAATAAATGTTTACTTCAAATGCATAAAATTAGACCCTTGGACTCAGTGACCTCTGACTTATTCTTCAGATGCCTTTGAAATTTTGCCTTTCAAAGAGTTCCCTCTGCTACAGGTAAAACGAAAGTACAGGAGTAGTCAGTCATTCAGTCCACACATAGCTCCGTGCCTAACGAGGCCAGGCACTGGGTTCACTGTTAGCGATTCAACTGTGACCAACACAAAGTGCCTACTTTCAGATTCTATCACTTAGCATAAAACCCAAAGCATAAAAATCGTAACAACTAATGCAATTAATTTTCACAGTTCAGGGGCTCCAGGTGGGAAGCAGGAAGCCACTCAAGTTGGACACACCTCCTCAGACAGCCACACCATCAAGAAATCTCTAAGCATTCCCAGGACATGAAGGCTGACAGAAATCAGTGACAGACATGAAGGGGCAAGGCAAAGACATGCATACAGACATGTGCTATATGGAATTGTTCGCCTACAGTTTACATAATGTTATTAATCAATGTTACCCAATAAATTTAATGTTAAAATAAAGATGTATTTAGCCTTCAGTTCTTCCCATTTAGAGGCGTAAATATAGAAAACAACTCTCTACTGGGAAAGAAGCCACGGCAGCGAGCAGAAGCACCTGCTGAGTGTGTCAGAGAGAACCCGCTGCCCAGCCCTGCGGCCTGGGTTCGGCCTGTGGCCTCCACGAACCACTTTGCAAGGGCAGGAGGCCTTCTCCTCCCAAACCTTTGCAAACTTAATGGCTCAAGCGACATTGCTAATTCAGGTTTCTTCTACCCCTAAGATTCAGCTTTAAAATTTTCAGGGCATATGCTTAAGAAATCCAGCTCTCTGGGCTGAGAACTAAGACCCCATGGGCATGAGGCATCCTGGAACCAATTTCAGAGACCAAAGCTGGCATGGCCACCGAAAGAGTCACACCAGTGAGGGCTCAGGGAAACAGAGTAATTTTCACAATATCCACCACTTACTAAATCTCTATTCTTGGCCAGGCATCCCAATAGCTACTTACATATAGGATGTGTGTGTGTTTCAATTACAGTGGACCAAGGGTTTTGAGTATTCTGTTTTCTCAGATGAGGAAATTAAATTGCTCATGCCTCATTCTTTCTACCCTCTGATTCTAATAGTGACATGTGAGAACCTGCTAACCTTTGAGGCATAATAATCCCTCGTTTGGAAAAACTGCTGTTTGAAACTGCTGTTTGAAAGTCTCTGCTATTTTTAGATAGTCCCTTGCTCTTTAAGTCAGCTATGTTATTTTTAGACAGTCTCTTATTCTATAAAATATAGCTTTGTTTTTTAGCTTGAATAATAGAAAAGATAAACTTAACTGTCTGACCTTGCAAGCTAGCCATCTAACGTAAGGGGCTGATATGCTGATACTGATAATATTCTCATGCCAGGTGTTTGTTAGATATGATATGTCCTCAAGGTTACAAGTTGTCTGTATAGATATGACAGGTGTTTGTTAGATATGATATATACTCAAGGTTACAGGCCGTTGGCAATAATAACTTACACAAAAACCTAGAAGGACATAAAAAGGGAATACTCCTTCGTTTGTTCAGAATTTGACAGAGATATTCTGCTCTGAACCCGCATGCAATAAAAAAACTCCTAATTAATTGACTTGTTAAGGCGTCTTGTATCTAGTTCGCTGATTTACGATACAACACCTTCAGGAGTATCAGTCACTCGTCTCAAAGTCAGAGCGCCATCTCCCACAGAGCTGCAGGCTCAGGCAGTGACCGTGAGCATACTTACTGACATTCACGGCAATTCTCCGGGACACAGTGAACTGCCTCCCTGCATGTGTCAGGCTGGCTTCGCAGGCATAGCTTCCTCTGTCTTCCTCCGAAACATTGTTCACTAACAGCTTTATTCCCCAATAAGTGAACCGCTCTCCTTTAATCTCTTTACAGTTCTAAAGATAAAAAAGAAAAGAAAATTCAACTCAAAGAGCATTTTGGGATCAGTTACATTCCCAGTTGGCAGCATTCCATAAACCGTGAGGAGATACAAGAAACTCTGTGGCCCCTAGACATTAGGTAGTGTATAAACCCTAGACAGACATTAGGTAGTGTATAACCCTAGACAGACATTAGGTAGTGTATAAACCCTAGACATTAGGTAGTGTATAACCTAACTGAAGTCTGTATAATGCTCTCCAGGAAGAGTTGGCAGAGAACGTTTAACAGGCTGAAATGAGTGTTACGAACATTCAGTCTAATGGGAGTCGATGGACAGAGACTATGCAGCTGGAGGAAGACTCCGTGGAGGAAGACAGGCCGGGCCATAAATGTGTTCAGTGGGAGGATGAACAGGCAGAGTCCTCCACCGCAGGGCCTTCTCTCCCCATGGGCCACCACGCCCCTTGGCCAAGGCCTGCTTCACTGTGTCACAGGCCCTATTGTTCCTGCACTTCTCAAGGGTTGGCCTTTTCAGAGGTCAAAAATAACTCATTCCCAGCATTCTATCTGGACCATAGTCAATGTGTGCTGACGAGGTTTATGAACAGCAGACGCCATGCCACTTCTCACACCCCTCACCCCCCTGCTTCCACGGCATCCACAAAACAGCCTCAGCCCAAACCCACTGGAGGCTGGTTAGTCTCAGGACACCTTTCTACCTATCATCCTCAGCAGCCACCCAGCGGCCAAGTCTCACACCCATCTGTCCTCCCAGAAGCTCACATTGTATGCTAATTGCTACTTCTCCCATCTCTCAGACCCACTTCTGAACACTCATATCTTTCCCCTTTCTTCAGGAAGCTTCACTCTACAAAGTGACATCTTGGACAATGGAGCCCATTTTAGTCATTCAGCATTTAAGTTCCTGCTCCTTGCTCGCACTGAGAGGCCAGGCAGGAGGAAGATGCAGTCCCTGCCTCAGAGAGCGCACACTCGTGATAACAGAGAAGACAGACATTCAAACCCTCAACTTATAGATAAAGATCGTATTGCCCACGTTTTAGACCTCATTCTCTGCCTTCGGAGCAGTGTTAACGAATCTGTCTCAGAAGGTAAAATGCAATAATGCCGGGACAAGCATTCGCTTACTTACTATGTAAACTACAGCTTCCTAGAAGTCTCCATAATTGCTCTATAAACATCTCCATGGGGAACTAAGCTGTAACTGGACAATGGCTTACCCATGGGACGGGAGTGAGTAAGAGTCAGATAGGGGAAAGCATCAGACTCTGATAGTGTGATGTCACCTTCTTTGGAGAAGAAGCCAAAAAAAGCTTGAATCTCTGGACTGTGGAAACCTCTTCCCTACATGGGCTTAGGTAGGCACAGTCTCTGGGCTTCACTTTCCATGTTTCCATTGCTGAGAAGTCCCCTTGGCAATGGACTCATTCTTTCTTTCAGGTACAAATATTTAACCATATGAAAGTTCAGCCTTGCTAGCTTACGAGCCATTCTATCCTTTTACGGTAACTAGGATGGCCTCTAATATAATCCACTGAAGCATTATTTTAGAGTCTAAATTCTCATAAGGCTTTGATTTTTATTTAACAACTAGAGGCCCGGTGCACAAATTTGTGCACAGGTAGGGTCCCTCCGCATGGCCTGCAGGAATTGGGCCGAAACCGGAAGTCTAATGCTGCCTGCCACTCCCGCTCATCCCGGCCTTGCTGCGCCTGCCGCCGGCTCTCGCCCAGTCAGTCCTGATCAGGAGAGGCTCACGTCACCATAGCTGCGCTTGCCAGTAGTAAGCCCTGAGTCTGACACTTGTCCCAAGGCAGGTGGGAGGGGGGCGGGACGCGATCTGCCTTCCAGGTGGGCAGTGGGACTGCGTTTCTGGCCCAGGATCTGGATCCATCCTGCTGACATTCGCGCCAGTTATCGGAAGCCACCTGGTGGCCACTTTTATATTGTTTCTTCCTTGCAGAGTGTCTAGGGAGGGGAAGTGACCGCAGTGCCTGAGGTCAACTTCCAGGAGGCAGTGCTGATGGGATTGTGCCGGCAACACTGGTCTGTTGGTGCCTGGCCCATTCTCTGCAGATTAGACCTGCACTACTACTGAGGGAGTGAGTGGCTGCTGCTGGGCTGGTGGGTGGCCAGGACAGGGGGGTTAGTTGAGCGGTGCTCCCGCTGTGGGAGCGCACTGACCCCCAGGAGGCAGCTCCTGTGTTTAGCACCTGTCCCCTGGTGGTCAGTGCCTGTCATAGCAACTGGTCATTGGGTTGTTCGGTTGCTTAGGCTTTTATATATAGAGATTCTTGGGTGATAGCTCACTAATAAGATTTAAAATTTAAAAATTCATAATGGCCAATATTTTAATGTGTTTCATGTTTCAAGCACCAAAAAGAACACTCCTGGCCCAGCGTGTACAATGGTTCTGAGGCATAAAATAGCCCAGAGCTCTGACTGAGAGGTTGTGGCTGTGGGAGAATGTGAAGATGAAACCAGAGGGACAGGCAAGGGATGTCATCGGAAACCATGGAAAGGGATGTGCTTTGGAAGCCGCCTAAGCAAGGGAATAGGGTTATTACACTTGTGTTTGAGAGTAATCTATCTGGCTGTGTGGGAAAGGATTAAAGATGAATGATCAAGAAACTGGGGAAATTTTAGAAAGTTATTTCCATAAACTAAGGCTAAACAGAGCATGAACTAAGGCAGTACAGTAAGAACAGCAAGAAGAGAACACAAAAACAATGATGTTAAACAATTCCAATCCACAGAATTCAGTGACAAATTTGGAATATGGAGAGAGAACAGGATTTTCATGACCCCATTTTGGTTATGCAAAGGTGTTGTTAGATAGGAGAGAGAATGTAAAGAAAATACAAAAGAATGATCAGATTTGGGGGTGAGACCAAAGTGGCTCTAGATATGGTGGCAATGGTTGAGTTATGGATGGAAATGTCTAAGAGGAATACATGTTAGGCCATTGGACAAAGTATCTGGAGGTTGAGAGAAAGATCAAAGTGGGAGAGAGAGTTGGGAGCCCTCTGTGCATGAATGGTTCCATGAGCCATCCCCATCTGAATGTAATCAAGGCAAGAATAGAAGATGACCGTGGCTGAAATTGAAACCCCAAAATCTAAGGCCCCAATATAGAGGATGAGAACCCAGTGATGGTTGCTAAGGAAAGAATGGGGGGTTTGGGGGAGCAGAGATAAAAGAAGTGAGTCTCAGGTAGAATAGAAGAGAGAGTTCTTAGCTGGAAAGAATGTCCAGTAGTTATGAATGCTACTAGGAAATCAAGCTTAGGGCTGAAAATGAATGTTAGGTTTGGCAGCGGGAAAGCCAGGAGTAACCTCACAGTACAGATTCCGCACGATGGTGAGGAGGACCTTGTTGTATTGAGGAGTAATTTGGAACCGAAAAACATGGAGACATACAGCTTTTTCACGTGTAGGCACTTCTCTATCTATCTATAAGAATGGGCGTTTAGTGTCCAAACTTTCTCCCCTCAACCCCTTCGAATTCAAGGACAATCTTTATCCCTCCCAGGCCTCAATTCTCCCAGCCACAACTTAAACTTTGTCCATAACTACTATGTCTCTAAACTCTTAAAAACATATATATCATTCTGATTATAATTTTTTACTATGCCACCTCTTCATCCCTTTATTTTCACTAAGTAATAATATCTAATAATGTTTGGTACAGTAATCGCTATGTGCCCACAGTGAACTAAATGCTTAGTGGAGAGATTATTTCATTTAATCTTTAAAACTCTATGAGGTCCTAGCTCTCAGTCTTGATTTAGTTGCAAGAAACAAAAGCATTCTGGCTATTTTGGGCAGAAAAGGATTCAACACAGGGTATTAGGTGCTTACAAAATGTTAAGAAGTGCTCAGGGAGTGAGGTCTGGTCCAGCGCCGCACTGTGGGACCAGCTCATACAACAGCTGCTACCTCCACCACAGTCATGACGGTGGGGCCCGGATTTGGAACTAAACCACCTGCAAGTCAGAGGCCAGGAGTGGCTACTCCGCCGCTGTCCTTGTGAAATCCTGTCACATCGGGTAGAGCCAGCCCAACAAGTAACTCCAGAGACACATGCACGAGGCTCCCGCCCTGCTGTGCTGCCCTCACACCAGCCTCCCGGAAGCAGGGGACACGCTGAGTCCGTCCAGGACTGGAGCTGCAGGCACCCTGGCAGCGCAGGTGTGCTGGTTGCCCTGCCTTCCTTCCAGCTTCCTGGTCTCTGTGGCAGGAGGCTCACTGTGGATGGTGAGTGTTTGCCACCATGTCTGCCATATTTCCTGCCTGAACTTTCTATGCACCTAATCCAATTTCTTATCTTAATTTGAATCAGTCCTCTTAACCCTTTATTTACTCCTAATTTCTAGTTTCCTTAGGGCATTGTTTTCTTTCTAAATCTAAACCAACCTGGACTCCTGTGGCTACGACTTTAATCACCCCTTTCAGCCACTGAACTCTGTAGCCCTTTGCCTGCCAGCGTATCCACCCTGCAAACCCGCACCAGGTCAGCCCTGTGGTCCCCGCCCGCGCCAGCTGAGCACTGTGGGAGGTAAGCATGGGTCTTGGCACCACTCCAAATGCATGGTCTTCACTACCACACTCACCTACTCACCATGCTGCCTGTTCAAATCTCCCACATGGCATCTCCCAGGTAACAGAGAGAACAGAGGCCTTCACAAATGAGTGACCTCTGCTTACCCCTCCTTTCCTCCATTCTACCAGTTCCACTTCATGCACTTTTTAAAATGATCCCCATTTTTTATTAAATTCTAAAATAGCCTAAATAATCAACACACCACCATCATTAAGTCCTTCCAATTTATTCACTATAGTGCCCACACAAAAACTTCACTCACATACAAAGTTGATCATGTCACTATCCTGGTGGTGTGGTTAGCTGTTAAAGTACTGTGAGTGGGAAGGGCTGTGTGTCAGCTAGCATGCAAGGTCTCCTACTCCTAATACCACACTAACATATACCCTAAACTCTAATCAATGCCCCAAACCATTCTCACTGGTACCTTTTCACATACTGTTCCCTTGAATTCCCATCCTCCCTTCCCTTCCCCCCAGGTTAGCTGTCAATCATTCTGTAAACACAGCTCAGCAGTCACCTCCCTCAGAAAGGCCTGTGGCTGATCTTATGTTGCCTCCTTTGAGTTCACCTTGTGCTCTAAGGAAAACTGTTTCGCTTGCTTGTCTGCCCTTCTGGTAAATTATGGCTATTGGAAGCGAGGGTTCTCTCATCATTACATCCCCAGTGCCTGGCATGGCACCAGGCAGATGATAAGCTCTAAATATTTTCATAATTTATTCCAACCCTCTCATTCTACAGATGAAAACACTGAGGCCCAAGGGGTGAGTCAGTTAGTGGCAAAAACAGAGCCATGACTGAGGTACTGGGTCTGCACAGGTTGACACTGGAGAATGGCCCCTCCTTATACTACCTGCCTCCTAGCTCCCTCCCGTCTTCTCGGGCTGAGTGGTTATTTCAAAATGAAACTTGCCTGAGTCTCCCTCATGCATAACCTGCTTCGCAGCAGAGAAAGAGGCCAAGCACCTGCTTGTTAAAAAGATCCGTAGGACCAATCATGGGGCTCTGGGTTCGTCTCAGGGTCTTACAGAGATTGGCATGCATTTTAATAGTGATAAGTATTATAACGCTGCTTAAATTGCTAACAACTGCCCATTCCTCTAATCCGATCACGCTGGGATGGAAGGGAACAGGCTGTGCTCTCAGGCGAGTGGCCATGGGATTGGAAAGCCTTCTGAAATCATGTGGTCCAAACTCACTTCCTAAGGGAGAAAATGAGGTGCAATGCACCTGCATCTTGGCACTGGGGGCGCGGCAGAGTGATGCCTCTGCAAATGTCACTGCCTCCACGGCCATGAGCTCAGCAGGGGCAGGTCAGGCCAGAGTCCTCCTGGGAAGCCCCGACGGGTCCCACTGGTGCCAGGAGGGGCTGTGAGGCTGCGGTGGAGGCCAAGGCCTGAGGAGCAGCACCTGGGGAGCCACGAGGGGAAGTGGACACTGGTTCCTGAGAAGGCGGACTGGGCTTCAGAAGTGGGTGAGCCACACTCCAAAACCCACACCCACCGAGGGCTACTTCTGCATCTCTTTCTAAGCAACTGAAAGAAGAGGGGGAAGCGCATTGTGGACGTGAATCACAGAACTAACAGACCCAGACTGCAGCTCTCTCATTCTGTGGACTAAGCCTGAGGCATTGGCAAACGTGGAACTTGAAGGCAGTCTCACCAAATTTCAAACTACTTACAACATATGGAGTAGATTCTCTGCCACAGTGCGATTAAGCTTACTTAATGGATGGTCGTTTTGCTGTTCGTTCTAATTAGCATATTAGCTCTTTATTATATAGGATGACCCAAAAATCCATCTCATAAAGTTATTAACATAACAGCAAGTTAAAAAAACCCAAGAAAACGGGGGGAGGGGGGAGTGTAAATGAGAGCATAAATTAATGAAACAGAGTTAACAAAGTTAGCGCTTTGAAAAAATTATTCAAGTTGATAAATCCCTGGCAGGAGTCAACAAAACAAGAGAGAGAGAGAGAGAGAAATATGACACCAGATATGAAAAAGAGACATCACCTCAAATCCTACAAACATTAAAAAGGTAATAACAGTATATTTTGAACAATTTTAGCTCAATAACTTAAAAATTGTAAAGGTAAAATGAAAATTTCTAAGCAAGCACAATGTGCTAGGTTTGCTATAAAGAAGCAGTAGGGCATCTGAGTGGCCCTATAATTAAGGACTCTGAATTCTATGATTTAAAAACTTTCCTTCAAAGGAAGTCCCAGTCTTACATAACTTTACTATAAACACTAAAAGCACATAGCAGAAGAAATAAAATCAATCTTAAACATTCCAGAAGAAAGTAAAGATTACTTCCCAACTTATTTTCTAAGGTCAGCATATCCTTTATACCAAAATTTGACAGGGACAAAGCAGGCAACAAAAATTACAAACCGACCTCTTTATGATTTAGATGAAAATTTTTTTTGACAAATCAGGCAAGCCAAATCTGGCAACATATAAAAAGGGTTACACATCAATTTAGATTATTCCAGTAAAGCAACATGGGTATAACATTCACAAATCAATTCCTGTTATTCAGTACAGTAACAGAGTAAAAAGAAAAAAATATCTAATAATTAGGAAAGGCAGATAAAATTTAACATCCATTCATAATATGACTTCAAGCAAACTAGAACTTAACCCCAAAATAAACATGACACTTAACAGGACTAATAAGAGTAGCTGCTTGTTGGGGGAGGGGCCATGGGCCCAGGATACACATGGGTCAGGAGTGGGAAGGAGACTTCCGGGGGTTATGCTGTGTGATTATTGCCTCATGTGCACGTGAGGGCCCATTCAAACATACGAATTAATTAATCTGTTTGAAAAGAGAAATAGCCAAGGATGGTCTGAAAAGTAAGGATGGTAGGGAGGAGGTGGAAGATACAAAGAATAAAATATTAAAAAGCTATCCTATATAATAAGAAGCTAATATGCAAATCAACTGAATGGCAGAACAACTTGTCATTATGATGTGCACTGACCACCAGGGGGCAGAAGCTCAACACAGGAACTGACCCCCTCGTGGTCAGTGTGCTCCTACAGGGGGAGTGCTGCTCAGCCGGAAGCCCTGTGGCAGCGCTAAGGATGTCCGACTACTAGCTTAGGCCCACTCCCCAGACTGTGAGAGGGTGCAGGCCAGGCTGAGGGACCACCTGGAGTGCATGAATTTCGTGCACCGGGCCTCTAGTAATAACCATAAATTTAAACATAAATAATTAGCAGATAAGATTGTCAATAGCAATCAGCTATCAAATCTGTCTGAGATACACAATCTCTTTTCTAATTTTGCCTTAAAAATACAACTTAAATTGAAAAAACAAGTGGGTTTTAAAGAAAAGAAGAGACAGTATTAATGGGAAAATCCTTTTTTTTTACCTTATACCATTTTACTGAATCCAAGACACAACTCTTCGGGAAATTCAGGTGACATGTCAGGCTGTCGTCTTTCCCAACATGCAGTATTTGTTCGTGCCCATCTGGGAAATTCATTTGACTGTTTCTGGACATGCCGCACCCATAGTTTTCAAACACAGTTAGGTTTACATGTACTTGGCGACACATGTCTGTATCACTGTAAGAAAACAACAGAGTGACCCTCATGAAACAATCACAGGACCAAACGATGCCAGTCATCTTCAAATACGTGCAAATCCTCTGTGAGGCACAGTGCGAACACGCTGCCTCCAGCAAGACAAGCACAGCTCACAGGCTCGCAGCACCCAGGGAAAGTGCTGACACATGGAAACACTGGACGCACCCTACCCAGGGACCAACAGGGACATGGCCGGGGGCCGACAGACACCGGGTGCCGCTGAGCGTGGCCTAGGAGGACAGACCCTGTCATAGCGTTCCGATCTGGGGGGCTCGGGGAGAAATAACCCAAATTAGGGATTTAATATAAAATTTCCTGTGCTCCTTCAAAATGTCAGTGTCGTGAAGAACAGCCCAAGGACCTGTCCAGGGGAAAGAGCAAAAGCACACGGCAGCCAGCGGCAGGGCATGATCTTGCCTGGCCCCTACTGGGAAGAAAAGACTTGAACTGCTCGCCACTGAGAGGATGGGTAAAAGGAGAACATGGACTGAGTAGAACATCGTACAACAGTACAATTTCCTAAAGGTGTGATCTGTATGTGATTAGTAAGAGCATATTTTTGTCGATAGGGAATACACATTGAAATAGTAAAGGGTCAGGGGTCATAATGCCTACAACTCACATGATTTAGGAAAAATGATTTAGAAAACTTATCATGTGTGATGTACAAATATATGGAGAGAGAATAATAAGGTAAATGTGGCAAAGTGTTAAATAAGGGGAATCTAGTTAAAGGATAGATGAGAGTTCTTTATACTAGTCTTGCAAATTTTATGTGAATTTGAAAGCATTTCAAATATACAGTTTACTGAGTATGTATCATGTCTATGTATATGTTAAAATTTTATGAAAATTCTTGTTTATTTTCTTCTATTACAGACAGTATCTGTTTCCTTTCTGTGAAAGATGATTTTCTGCATTTCCCAGCTCCCAGGTTCAAATATTTTAAATCCAGTCTGGATTTCACAGTGAATTTGTGTGACATACAATCTCCACCTCTAGTTCGTATGTCATGGGAGAGCACCCGCCCCAGCATGATGGGCCTGGTGAGTGAAACTGGAAAAAGGCCATGTACACGGGCACCGGCCACTCCTGTTTCTGTACCACTGAGTGATTTTGTCCTGTAGGTCGATCTGACATATGAAAATGAGGAATCTGGCATGAATCAGAGCCGGGCACAGAAAGGGACCAGCAAATACCACAGAAACAGAATGAGAGGGAATGCAGCTTCCCTTTGGAGGCGCCTACGTCCCATGATCTCAGCTCATTTCACTTCGGCCCTAGCAGGCTGCCATGCTTCCCATTCTGCAGACAAGAGAACCATGCCTCGGGGAGGCCAAAGCATTCGTTAGGTCAGTGGTTGGCAAACTGCAGCTCGCGAGCCACATGTGGCTCTTTGGCCCCTTGAGTGTGACTCTTCCACAAAATACCACATGCGGGAGCACATGTACAGTGTGATTGAAACCTCGTGGCCCATGCGCAGAAGTCAGTATTTTGTGGAAGAGCTACACTCAAGGGGCCAAAGAGCCGCATGTGGCTTGTGAGCTGCAGTTTGCCGACCACTGCGTTAGGTCATGCACATGTGTGTCAGTAAAGGAAGGTCACAAAACGGGGCCCTTGGGCAAAATGTGGTCCAAAGGTGTGTTTTATTTAGGCAACACACACAAAGCTATTGAAAAGTTACACACACACACACACACACACACACACACACACTAATTTTCAGGTTTCCTTGAAAAAATGGAAAATGGACTTGAGCTGAATAGATTGTCGCCTTTGGTGAGGCACGCTCCAGCTGAACGCAGTCCCCACCAGCTCAGCTGTCCCCATCTACACAGAGCTGTCATTCAACTACACAGTGTTACTTTCTAGCACAGGGTACACTGGGCCTGAGCATACGTGGTGCTTTGTCACTGGTACATTTCCATAGCAGATGCCTTACAAAAAGGTGGTGGGCAAAGGAGGCTGGCTCCCCTCCGGACATGCAGCCCATCACAGGAATGCTGGGCATGCGGAGAATGAGGGCAGCGACAATAGTGGGAGACACCAGTTTTGGAAGTTGGTCTGGATGTGGCATCACTTCCATGGGAAAAGCTGTATTTCATATTCTAACAACTGATTTACAAATCTTCTCTGCTTTAAAACGTTTTCATTGGAAATTGTTTTATAACAACTATAAAACCATATTTTATTCTTCTCATTGAGTTTTTAAGTTCTTACGAATTTATTAAGAATTTTCCTAAAAGAATTATAGACATATGATTGTAACATGTCAGTGAGAGAGATGGGGAGAGTGTGCTGGTGCTCTTCAAGGGGGGAACTTACTTTATCACACACTGGTAGGTCCCCGAGTCCCGCCAGGCCACGGGCAGGAACACGAGCCAGCTCTGCTCCTGGTGGATCCTCGCCTGCGAGTCGGTGGGGACTGGGCCTTTGCGAGGGTGTCTGTACCAGGCTACACGTGCTTTCCCGGAAGTGAGCAGAGGGGATGTGCAACTAAAGGCAAAGGGCTGCTTTGCTGAAGATGCCTCGGTTAGCACACGGATGACGTGGCATTCATCTAGGGAGAGGAAGGGAAACGTAATCATGAAAGGGAACTCTTTACTAATAGTTTAACGAATGTGTCAATTCCTAGCCAATTTCACTGAGAGCTTTCTCAGTGTGGGAATTTCCCAAAAATAGTGTGTTGATGTGAAAGCAGAATTCAGAGCCCTCCCAGTGTGTCCATAGGACTGAATCTCCTGCTTCCTCCCGGTTGTCAGCCTCTGGAATGAGCCCCTCTCTCCCTTCCATCGGAAGGCCTTCATTCTTTCCCCTCCCCTCAGAGGAAACCTTCCTGCTCTCGGCCCTCCTTGTCCTGTTTTCTGTCACCAGCTATTTTGTTTAAAAATCCGCTCGCTTTAAAGTTCCTTTTTACCAAATTGCCTGGTTTGCTTTTACCTTGGGCCATAGAACAGAGCTGTCATAGGACCCAGACAGCACTCCATCCATTTGCCCTTGAATGCAAGCCTTGACTCGCACTTTGCCTACCCTCCTCCTCTCCTAAGTCACCTCAAAGCTCATGCCCTTTTGGGGCCGAGCACCAGGCTTTGGAAGGGAAGCTCCCACTCCGCAGACCCCTGCCTGGGCCCCGGGGAAGGTGAGCTGCAGGCTCAGAGCCCCCCGCCTCCCCCAGGTCCACACACCAGGCGGGCTGGCCGCAGGGACACAGGGTGAGGTGGCTGAGGGCCAGGCAACGCCAACATACCTGCGCCCAGAAGCAGCGGGAGGGCCACGGACACGCACAGCAGCAGGGACGCCGCCCCCATAGCAGGCTGCGGGAAGAGAAGGGGTGGGGCAGGGCCGGCTCTGCGACCTCGGAGATCCCAGGTCAGCCGCTGGCCTTCCCTTCCTCCTGGGGTGCCCTCCACCTGGCCCCGCGTGTACCTTCCCTGCCCTTTCCTATCCTTGGGCCGACCTTCAGGATTGGGTGGAAGAGCCGCGGGCGGTCGCAGAGGGGAGGCGGGGCGCGGTGGGGGCGGAGCGGGTCCCCCCTCCAGGGAGCGCCATCGCTTCCTGGGGAGGAGGCGATTCCCCCTTCCCTGGGCAGTGAGGTGGGATCTCTGGGAGGCTCCCTGGGAGGCTCCCCCCCAGCCGCCTCAGCCCTGAGGGTCCGGGTCCCCTGTGCGTGGCACGTGGCCTCCCCTGCGTCTGGGGCCTCGGGTCCGCAAGGCCTGAGCCCACATCCCAGCCCGGCCCACCTGGGAGCAGGTGAGATCCACCTGGGAGGGCCACCTGGGAGGGCCACCTGGGAGGGGCCTATGAGATCCACCTGGGAGGGCCACCTGGGAGCAGGTGAGATCCACCTGGGAGGGCCACCTGGGAGGGGCCTATGAGATCCACCTGGGAGGGCCACCTGGGAGCAGGTGAGATCCACTGGGAGGGGCCGGTGAGATCCACCTGGAGGACCATCTGGGAGGCCAGTGAGGGTCATCTGGGAGGGGCCGGCGGGAGGCCGGCAGATTCGGGTCGCCCAGCCGGTGGGAAGCCGCCGGGGTCCGACCTCTGGCCTCAGGTCCCAAAGGTCCGGCCACCTGGTTCCCGCACACCTACCTGGGCGCCCCGGGGGCGGACCGGAGCCTGGGGCTGGGGAGCGCGGGGCTGGCTCCGGGCGGGACGGCGGGCACCTCCAGGCCCGGCTGCTCCCCGCCAACAGCGCTGCGGGCGGGGCGGGCACCTCAGCGCGCGGGGAGGTGCGGCCTCGTGCAGGGGCGGGTCCGAGGCCGCCTGGGCGCCTGGCCCGGGGTCCCCGCCGCCGTTCGGCCCGCCCCGTCCTGTGCGCGCTACGCGTTCGGTGCGGCCGGGCCTCCTCGGGCGGCACTGAGCGCCCCCAGGGGGAGCCGTCCGGGCGGCTCCTGGGGAGTCGGGACCAGCACGGACGCGCCGCGCTCGGTAACCAGGAAGCCGGCCGCCCGGGGTGACGCCCAGCCCCGGAGCACGGGCTGCTCGGGTCCCAAAGGGGAGCGGGGGCTGCCCGGGGGCTGCTGCCTTGGCCACTGCGACGGAAGGAAATCTAAAATGCGACCATCATTCAGGATCTCCCTGCGCCAGGGCTGGGGCGGCTGCCGCGCGTCCCATGCACCGCAAAGCTCGCGGCTCCCCCCGGGCAGGCACTCGCCGAGGCTGTGGCTCCATCCCGCCCAGCCCCTGTGCGCGCTCGGGAGGCGACCGATCAGTGGTTCTCTCTCACATCCATGCTTCTTCCTCTCTCTCTTTAAAAAAGGAAGGAATCAATAAAAACATATTCTCCGGCGAGGATTAGAGAGAGAGAGAGGCGGTTCGGGGCCAGGCCGCCCGGGGCTCTGGGGGCTGGGCCCCAGGCAGAAGCGCCACAGGCGGGGGGCAAGGAGGACTGTGCCAGCCGCGCTCCCAGGCGGTGTGGCCGCGGTTTGCAAACCCCCACAAGGTTCCAGTCACTGAGGTCCCAGCGCTTTTGTGTCTGTGCGTGTTGTCTGTCACCACTTGCTGTGTTAGAAATTAAATAGAGTTTGAACATTTATTTTATCCATTTTAAATAACAAAAAATGCATTATGTATGCCTAAGATCATAAATATCAGACATTTTATGAAAAATAACTATACTTCCCAAAACAGACTTCCTGAGAAAAATGATACTGTTCTACAAACAACTGCATACTCATAGCCAATATTTGGAAATCTCTTTAATGTCTCACCTAATAGAAGAACGCAGGGTTCTCGAACCTGCTTCCGCATCTAATTGCTTCTGAGGGAGCATGTCTGTGTAGCCCTGCACCCCCAGGTGCACTGGAGAGCGCTGGGTGGCAGTGAGTGGAGGCCTTATTCTGTTCCTGCAGCACTAGGGGAGTTCCTCTGCACAGACACAATTTATAAGGCGGATGCCCCCCGCACACGCCCCAAAACAAAACAAAGGTGTTACTATCAAAAACAGTCCAGTCCTTGCACTTAGAGCTGTTGTTATAAGCAGTGTTGAAAGATGTTCCTAAATCTTTTTATTTTGTCCTTTTCAGTTTCTACTTTATGAAGAGACAAACTTGTGCCCCATCTTGTTACGGTTTGAGGGTGAGCATTGTGCCAAGTCTAACCAGTACAGGGCCCCAAAGTGTATGAAGTTAAGAAGGGCCATCCCAGCCCCTTCAGTATCTCTCTCTTACTGGATATTCCTGACATTTCACTTTGCCAGTGAAGCTATGGGCCTATCACTTGGGGACTGTGAGCTTTGCAATTGAAAAACCAAAGTCCAAAATTTACTACAGGTTCTCAATTACGTTGGAAAAATTGGAGAAACTGGAGCGTTGTTTGCAAGGAGAATGGGAAGGAAGGAATTCAAACAGAATTTATTTATGGAGGTCCCAGGTGAAGACACTCAGGTTTGCTTTGTTCTGACCACAGGAATGCTGTTTCATGCTGAAATTCCCTAAGTTGAATTCTTTATTTTTTCTCTCTAATTTTCACTTTTGATGTTTTTAAATACAATATTTAAGAGCTAAATAACTCGCCCTGACCGGTTTTGCTCAGTGGATAGAGCATCGGCCTGTGGACTGAAGGGTCCCGGGTTCAATTCCAGTCAAGGGCATGTACCTTGGTTGTGGGCACATCCCCAGTAGGAGGTGTGCAGTAGGCAACTGGTCGATGTTTCTAACTCTCTATCCCTCTTCCTTCCTCTCTGCAAGCAATCAATAAAATATATTTTTTAAAAAAGAGCTAAATAACTCAAAACAGGTCATAGGTTATGTAAGCAAGACCCAGCAGCAGAAATAAGAATTAGCAGTTTTTCTCTATACACTTCTCCCACCCACTAAATGTACTATCCTCAGCATGATGCTGCTTATCTTAAAATGTGTGTGTGTGTGTGTGTGTGTGTGTGTGTGTGTGTGTTTCTTAAGCAATACAAAGTATTGTTGTTAGTCTTTACACAACTCTACACTGGTAACTTGCTTTTCTCACGCGGCATTCTATCTGTGAGACCAAGCACTTGGAGGAGTATAGCTCTCATTCACTTAGAATGCTGTATCATATTCCACTGCATAACTAGACCCCATTTATATATCCACCGCCTTTGGACATTTAAGTTGTTTCAAATTTATATGTTGCTCTTAAAAGTAGTGCCGTGGTGCAGGTTTCTGTAATGTTCTGTGCGGGTTTTCAGAGTGAAATGGCAGGATCATTGGGCAGGTGCATCTTCAATTATATTAGAAAATCCCTGACTTTCTCCACATCTGTGTCCTTTGAACGATAAGGGTTTCCCACTTCATGTGCTTGCCAACATAGTTGGTAATGTCACACTGTTACATGTTGCTAGTTAAGTCAGCCCAATGCTGTAAAAGCTGTCATCTGATTTTATTTTGCATTCCACTATTCACTACTCAGGTGGGACATCTTTGGCCAAGTGAGTGTTCTCTGTAAGAAATTCCTTCTCATATGTTTGCCCTTTTGCCCACTTGGCTTGTCTTCCTCTCATTAATTTGTAGAAAACTCACTGAGTTCTACCTTTGATGTCGCATGAGGGCACGTCCCAAGGGACATGCAGACGTGCGTCCTGGCCTCTCCCTGAAGGAGCGCAAGCCAGCAGTGCCTCTTCCTTACAAGACAGGTGACGAGGCCCACTTCTCAGAGGTGACATTTGGGAAACGTCCTTAGCAGAGTGTCTGAGGTTACAGATCCCCGATGAACCAGGCTTCTTTATCATCATCTTCTCACCAACTCCTCCTGTCGCAATCTTTCCAGTTGCAGATGTTTTTGCAAATATTCTTAGAAGCTTATGCTGTTAGTCACAGGGATGGGTCGTTTCCGCTGTTAGTCACAAGCAGGTGAGGGACTCTTCCCATTGGTTGATGTTTTTAATGAAGTGAAGCAACTTCCTCTGCAGGTCATCACCTCCTCTGGAGAGCAGGCCGCAGCGTAAAGCAGTACCCTGTGTGTTCTGGAGTCATTGCTCAGTTCAGGTTTGTTGACTTTTACCTTCAATCTATTTGATCCTCAAACCAGGATATCATACATATTCAGAAGAGTTGCAAGGCAGTTATTTATATTAGAGATTGTATACTCTGATGTATATTTTATACATAGTACCTTTTATTTGTTTTAACTAAACATCAGCGATTTCCCAACTCTAAAGAGAGAGTTTATAGTGAGAATGAAGCAGAAATATGTTTGCGTGTCGTGGTCAAATCAGGCCGGGCCGGGAGGTCGGGGCTCCACAAAGCTCTCTACACCTTAAGGCTCTCCCTCCTCCCATTTTTCCTGAGACACTTGAGAATACACAGCAGCAACTCTATAGCATCCTTTTGTTGCTGAAATGAATGAACTTCTAGAGATGTAAGAAGTACAGGGGTGACAGAAGAATAATACTAAAAACATTTGGTTTCCAGGGGTTCTAGGCCTAATTTCTCCCTCAGCTTCCATTCATCAGTCCATCATTCACTCAAGTATTTGTACCGTTCCTCCAATGTGCTGGGTACTCTGTGTGCCAGAAGCCATGCTGGGGAAGAGGCGGCCCCCTCAGAGCTTGCAGTCTAGAGTTGAGCCTGTGGAGTGGGGAATGGGAAGGTGTAGGGAGGGGGGACACTGAGTAAGAAAACTTAGAAGATTTCAGGTTAGTGAGAAACATGAAAGATATGGAATCTGGTGAAGGGGTAGTGAGGGTGTTTGGAAGGCTTTCCTACGTAATTGACAGCGTAGCTGAGGCCTGAGTGATGAGGAGCCACCAGGTGGATGAGCACACGGATGAAGAGCTCTCCTCACAGAAGAAACAATAAATCTCCGAAGGAAGAAAATTTGGAAATTTTAAAATAATAGAAATGAAGTCTGTAGAATACAGTGACTAAGCAAGAGTGTTGATGGATACAGTCACTGAGGCAGGAGGAAGCCCAGGGCCTGTGGGCAATAAAAAGAAGATTAAATTTTATTCTAGGCAAAATTAAAAACTATTAGGCAATTAAGAGCATAAAAGAGATATCATGCTGATGATTAAAATCTCACTAGAATGGCGAGTTACAAAGAGTGACAATACCAAGTGTAGAGAACATGGAATGACGGAAGTTGCCACGCAGCACCTAGGAAAAGGATTTGGTATTATCTACTCCAGCTAACTCAGCTAGTCCCTGAGGGATACACCAGATAGAAGTGCATACATACTAGTATATTCAACAAAAGAGATACTTGCTAGAATGTTCATGGCAGGAGTATTCATAACATTAAAAAACTAGAATTTACTGGAGCAACCAAGATGGCGGCATAGGTAAACACCGGAGTTTGCTGCCTCGAACAACCACTTCAAAAATACAACTAAAAGATGGAACGGACATCATCCAGAACCACAGGAAGGCTGGCTGAGTGGAAATTCTACAACTAGAAGGAAGGAGAAAAGCATACCAAGACTCAGAGGAGGCGCAATGTGGAAGTAAAATACTAAGGTGCGGAGGTGCATGCGGAGCAGGCTGGCGGCTGAGGGCTCGGTTGTCGTTTTCAATCGGGAGGGAGTCTCAGGCTCTGAGCTCCAGTTCCGGGCGAGTCTCTGTGGACCCAGACTCATATGGGAGAAGCGGGACTGTCTGGCATGGGTCGGGACTCGAGGGCAGCTTTCTCTCCGAGGGGCTTGCAATGATTACCGGGACACTGAGAAGCAGAGCCTCTGAGGGTAGGACTGAGAGCAGCCATAATTGCTAGCCCCACCCTGTTGATCCCCTGGGACCTGCCC